AACTTTTGTTTTGTTTTGTTTTGTGTTTTGTTTTGTTTTGAGATGGAGTCTCCCTCTGTCACCCAGGCTGGAGGGCAGTGGCCAAACTCGGCTCACTGCAACCTCTGCCTCCTGAAACCAATAAGCTTTAACTAAGGTTATGAACCTAACCACGAGTGTACAAGGTATTTTCAAAACGATGCCAAGCAGTTTTTACGAAATCTAGAATCTTCAAAGGTAGCTCAAAGAAAGGAAAATCCAGAATGGTTCATGGAGGGGAGGGGAATCAACAAATGTTCACACAGATATCAAATCAGAAAGGACTCATTTCCTAAGCCAGAAATTGAACTCTGAACTCCGGTTGCCACTGTGAGACAGCAAAGCCCAACTACTGAGCTACAGCACTGAGCAGTCTCCAATGGAGTCTCCCAGAAGAAGCCTACAGCAGCCAATTTTGAGCTTGCAAAGGTTTTTAACGGCTCAAAGATCATTTTTAGAGTTAAGCATAACATAAATTTCAAAATTTCTGTATGCTGATAGTAGAAACCAAGAGAAAATACTGCCACACGGCTACAAGTTCAAGCTCCCAAGAACATAAAACAAGAGGGAAACTTGATCCATTATTTTGTTGTTTTTGTTTGTTTCAGGGACTTCTTTTTTGTTTCTTTCTTTCTTTCTTTTTTGAAATGGAGTCTTGCTCTGCCTCCCAGGCTGGAGTGCAATAGCACCATCTTGGCTCACTGCAACCTTTCTCCCAGGTTCAAGCAATTCTCCTGCCTCAGCCTCCCAAGTAGCTGGGACTACAGGCGCGTGGGGCCACGCCTGGATAATTTTTGTATTTTTAGTACAGACGGGGTTTTACCATATTTGCCGGGCCTGTCTCGAACTCCTGAACTAGTGACCTGCCTGCTCGGCCTCCCAAAGTGCTGGGATTACAGGTGTGAGCCACCGCGCATGGACGGGAATTACAATTTGAGATGAGATTTGGGTGGAGCCACAGAGTCACATCATATCACTGCAAAGGATCCACAGCAAGAAAGGTCATAAAATCCTAAATTTTAAAATGCTTGCTATTATTTCAATTTATGAATAAATATTGTATATCATTTATAAATGCATGTCACGTTGTACACAAGGTTAAATGCAAATATCCTCTGAAGTTGGCCTGGTTCAGATGAAGGAAGAAGCCCTGCCTGTAAAGGCTGCAGCCTAGGCTGTTACTTTTGCTCGATTCAGCCCAGTGTCTGATCATGTATTACCTCATTCGGGGCATGAAGGGTGGGGCCTGAAACCTTATCCAATCAGGAGCCGCAGACTAGAAACTATCCAATCAGGTATGCAGCTGGAGAGAACAGGCTGCTTCCGTTAAGTTTGCGGGTCCTTTGCGTTTCCCTGCGTCCAGAGCTGCAGTTCTTCTCTTCACTGCTCTGCGTCCTCTGCTCCTACAGGTCAAATCTATGTGTCCTTGTGTCATGCAGGTATCCGCAAATTTGTGACTGAAAGACCGGGACCCCCTGGAAGCCGAGAAATGGTGAGTGCTGGGTCTGTCATCGTGAGAGAGGGGTGGAGGCTGGTTGGAACCGGCTGAAAGTGGCTGCGGCAGGACCCAAACTTTCTCGCAGGCAGCTCCAGAGTCTGAGGACCCAAATCCTCTTTGGCCCAGCTCGGCTCTCAGTCCCCTTGAGCCGCAAGATGGTGCCTGGGCCAGCGGCTGGGACCCTGGGAGTTGAGTCTTTTTCCTCTGCCGTGGCTTTGCCCTGGACTGGAGGCCTCCCTGGTTTGCTGTGCACTCCCAGCGCCTCATCTCACCCATATTGTGCGGGGATGAGAAAGTCGTTAGGGGAGAATCCTGACTCAGGGTACAGGATTCATGAGTGGAAAGAGCTGTGGTCCTGGGTTCCCTAGTTCCTCATTTTTCCTTTTAAAAATGTATGAGAGTCACTGTAAAAATGAGAATCTGATCAAAGTGTGATTCAAGAATAGCGCCCAGCTATGGTTTGTGGGTTGTGATCCATGGGAGAGACTTGAAGAAAAGTCTGTTATAAGTTGCATGATGAAGCAAACCAGATTTAATAATTGGTTTGGTAGAGTTATGTAGTTTCCTTATTTGTAAGATCTCAGTGAACATTTCTTGGTTATGTCATCAGAGATTAATTGGCAGTCTGTGGTTGCCTACGCCTGAATATTTTCTTCAAGATAGTAATTTTTGTTTGTTTGTTTGAGAGGGAGTCTCGCTCTGTCCTCCAAGCTGGAGTTCAGTGGTGCGATCTCGCCTCATTACAACCTCCGCCTCCCACGTTCAAGTGATTGTCCTGCTTCAGCCTCCTGAGTACCTGGGATTACAGGTGCGTGCCATCACGCCCAGCTAATTTGTGTATTTTTAGTAGAGATGGGATTTCACCATGTTGGCCAGGTTGGTCTCCAACTTTTGGTCTCAGGTGATCTGCCTGCCTCAGCCTCCCAACGGGCTGGGGTTACGACTGTGAGCCACCACACACCCAGCTGAATTTTTGTTTTACCTTTTATTTTAGGTTCAAGGATACATGCAGGTTTGTTATATAGGTAAAATCGTATCATGAAGTTTTTGTGTAGAGATTATTTTATCACTCAGGTACTAGGCATAGTACCCAACAGATTTGTTTTCTGATTTTCTTCATCCTCCAACCCTCCACCCTGAACTGAACCTCAGTGTCTGCACGTATTCTCATTATTTCACTCCCACTTAAAAGTGACAACATACAGTTTTTGATTTTCTGTTCCTGCACTAGTTTTCTAAAAATAACAGTCTGCAGCTCCATCGGCACTGCTGCAAAGGACATGATGATGTTCTTTCTTGTAGCTGCATCATGTTTCATGGTGTTTACATAGCACATTTTCTTTATCCAGTCTACCGTTGAAGACATACAGGTTTATTTCTTGATTTTACTATTGTGAATCGTGCTGCAATTAACATATGCGTGCATGCGTCTTCATGGTAGAATAACTTACATTCATTGGGTATATTCCCAATTGTGGGATTGGGAGTGGTAATTCTGTTTTTAGGTTTTTGAAAAAATGCCAAGCTGCTTTTCTCAATGGTTAAACAAATTTATACTCCCGTCAGCAGCGTATAAGCATTCAGTTTCTCCATAACCTCATAAGCATCTGTTGTTTTTTTTTTTTGACTTTTTAGTCCAATTGTTTTTATTTGAATTATTTCTTTTTTCTCCATTAGTCTAGTGTTTTATCTGTCTTCTTGGTTTTACATAGAATCAACTTCTGGTTTCGTTGAACTTTTTTTTTTTTTTTTTTTTTGAGACAGAGTTTTGCTCTTCTGCCCAGGCTGGAGTGCAGTGGCACGATCTTGGCTCACTGCAACCTCCGCTTTGCATTTTCAAGCGATTCTCCTGCCTCAGCCTCCCAAGTAGCTGGAATTATAGGCATGTACCACCACGCCCAGCTAATTTTTGTATTTTTAGTAGAGACGGGGTTTCACCATGTTGACCAGGCTGGTCTCAAACTCCTGACCTCATGATCTGCCCGCCTTGGCCATCCAAAGTGCTGGGATTACAGGAGTGAGCCACAGTGCATGGCCCATTGAAATTTTTATAGTTGTTTTGTCTCAACCTTCTTCATTTCAGCTCTGATTTTGGTTATTTCTTGACTTTTGCGAGCTTTGAAGTTGGTTTGCTCTTACTTTTGAAATTAACATTAGATTTTTAAATTGAGATCTTTCTAACTTTTTGATGTGGATGTTCAGTTATATACATTTTTTCTTAACACATTATATAACATATATACATTTATATATATAACACATTATATAGCACATTATATACTTTTTTTCTTAACACATCTTAACACATAGCTCTAACTCTGAGATTCTGGTATGTTGTATTTTGGCTCTAATTCGTTTCAAAAATTTTATTTCTGCCTTAACTTCATTATTTACAAAATTTCCCAATTGTGGGATTGGGAGTGGTAATTCTGTTTGTATGTTTTTTGTATTGAATTATTATTCTGTACATTTTCTTTTTTTTTTTTGAGACGGAGTCTTGCTCTGTCACCCAGGCTGGAGTGCAGCGGCATGATCTCGGCTCCCTGCAAGTTCCGCTTCCCGGGTTCACGCTCCTGCCTCAGCCTCCTGAGTAGCTGGGACTGCAGGCGCTCACCACCACGCCCGGCTAATTTTTTGTATTTTTAGTAGAGACGGGGTTTCACCGTGGTCTCGATCTCCTGACCTTGTGATCCGCCCGCCTCGGCCTCCCAAAGTGCTAGGATTACAGGCATGAGCCACTGTGCCCAGCCTGTACATTTTCTTTTTAAAATTAATGATAGAGAAACATAAGAAGAAATAAAAATCCTCTGCTCTTAATGTAAATGCTAACATTTATTCAACGCTTAGTACCAACTCCCAGGGTGCTATGAAAATTAAATCACAAAGTATGTTATTCCCAGCACAGTGTTCTGTGACATGCTCCTGAGCACATAGTACCTACTTAATAAACATTGTATTAGTACATGCGTACAGGTTTCCCAAGTACAGATTTACTCAGACATTACTGTCTTCTGTTGTCCCTGTAAACTTTAAAAAGCCAACAAAAATATAGTATTTCAGGGTGGAAATTGGTTGTCTTTATTTGTACCAGAAGTATTTTTGGGACAAACGTGGTGTGTGTAAGGGACTCTTTGCCGTGCCTGCTTTCTCTTGCTAATGCTAATAATGTGTCTGGGAAAGCGCAATCAGCATTTACTGGGGATTTGTTGGAAAAGCCCATTCCTGGACACTTTTGGATCCTGCAGAATCACATTGCATAAACAGGGCCGAGATTACCAAATGATTTATAAACTTGGGGGGTTCAGGATACATTCAGGAGAGTTTAGGTCAACCTTTGCATCAAAGAAAGGCTGCACCGCAAAGAAAACTGCACTGCAGTTTGGTAGGAAGAGGTCAGTGCGGTTCATGCTCCCGTTACTGTAAAGAAAATTGCTGGTGTCTGATAGGGGAGGGCAGGGAAAAAGAAACTTATATTTTAATAGTTATGGAGAAGCTCGTTGTTCTCTCATTGCTGTTAAATCTTTTCAGTTATAAACAACAAAAGTGGGTGAAAGTTTTCTGCAAGCCTCTGTCTTTCTGCCCGTGGGTGTGTGTGGTGGTAGCAGGTGAGTAGGTTGTCCTTTAAAGGCATATTCTCAAGATGCAGGTTTGATATGTCCAGAGCATCGTATCTGAAAATACATTTCAGAGAAAGAAGAGGAAGAGAAAAAAAATCAGTTTTTCTCGGGTGAGCATGTCTCAGATCAAGCGTTGTGTCCACTCTGCCTTTTGGAATGCCTTGTGTTCAGAACTTGCAAATTTTTACTTCTCTACTTGTGCTGTTGATCCCTATTGAGTTTGTTTCAACTATATTTTGTTATTTTTATGATAGTCAAGGGGTTCTGAAAAAAATATTTTTTTTCTGTTTACCATAGCGTTCTATACATTCTCTTCATCTTGGGTTCTTGTATGCCATGCAGAATTCTCACCACAAATATATGACCTGCAATACTTAAAATGTTCCCATTGTAGCTGTTGAACATGAGAAGGTGTAAATACTCAATATTTCTCTTGGGGAAACACAGTTATCTTTGGATATTAGTGAAAAATGAAACATGTCATGTTGAGGTTTAGAAAATGCTCATTTAAACAGGATAGCATTTATTACCCAGAAAGTTCTGAAAAAACTATTAGGAGATACTTGCTCTCCAGGGTGCTAAGGAAAGACTACTTGAAATTACTATTAAAAATTACAGAACAGGGAAGTTATCTGCACCTTCAACTTTGCATAAAACTGATGTTTCTTTATAATTAAATTTAAGCCAGGCGCGGTGGCTCAGGCTTGCAATCCCAGCACTTTGGGAGGCCGAGGCAGGCACATCACGTGAGGTCAGGAGTTCGAGGCCAGCCTGGCCAACATGGTGAAACCCTGTCTCTACTAAAAAAAAAAATACAAAAATTAGCCAGGCGTGGTGGCATGCACCTGTATTTTCAGCTACTTGGGAGGTTGAGGCAGGAGAATTTCTTGAATTCAGGAGGCAGAGGTTGCAGTGAGCTGAGATTGCACCCCTGCACTCTAGCCTGGGCAACAGAGTGAGACTCTGTCTCAATAAATACATAAATAAATAAAATTTATATATAATTGAATTTAGATTACAATTTTCTGAGAGGAGAGAAATACCACAGCAGTGATGTTGTGTCCTGTGTGCATCAGCACGTAATAAAAATGTGTCCCGGTACAGTTGATAACAGTTTTATTCACTTGGTTCAAGATCTCTATGATATTTTTTCCACTATAGAGTTAGTTATTATTCTCTTAATTATTAAGTACACTTAGGAGATTTACTAGCTGAAGTGCATAAACCATCACATTTAATCTGGAAGCTGTCCTTTCTTTTTAGATGTCTTTTTATATATTTGTCTTTTAAAAATGAAGGCTCTTATCTTTATTTACAGGTGAGAGAAACTGGGAAAAACCGAGACTCTGCCACTTAGTGGATGTTTGACAAACTATTCTTACTAGGCTAGAAACATTGGTGAGCTTGCTAAAAACTCAGAAATTCAGACTTTATCTCAAATAGTCTGAAACAAAATCTCACAACACGATCTTTTAGTTTATTGCACATATTGAGAATTGAGAGGTACCTTTCAACTCATCATGACTGCTCTGAGAAATATACACAACTTATTCTGTATTATGTAAATATAACACTCAAAAATAAACATGTTCGAGGGGGTGAGGTGGCTCACGTATGCCATCCCAGCACTTTGGGAGGCCAAAGTGGGTGGATCACCTGAGGTCAGGAGTTCAAGGCCTGCCTGGCCAACATGGAGAAATCCTATCTCTATTAAAAATACAAAAATTAGACAGGCATGGTTGCTTACGCATGTAGACTCTGCTACATGGGAGGCTGAGGCAGGAGAATTGCTGGAACTCGGGAGGCGGAGGTTGCAGTGAGCCAACATCACACCACTGCACTCCAGCTTGGGCAACAGAGGGAGACTCGGTTTGAAATAAAAGAAAAAACAAAAAAAAAGAAGAAAAGAAAAAAAAAGAGAGATATGTCCATATTGATGCCCTTAGTTTTATAATTTATTGTCCGGAAAAGTATCAAATCCACCATCGTATTGTGGATCTTATGCTATCCTCTTTTCTCAGAGTTAGATAATACTTCAGTGTTAAAAATTATCTTATTGAATAATTTTAGTCACTAAGAACCACTTCTTTTTACTCTCTTTTTAAACTTGAATCAAATAAAAATCTCTGCCTATGGCCACCGGGTGTTTGTGTGTTCATGTTTTTTGTTTTGTTTTGTTTTGTTGTTTGTGTTTTTTTTTTTGTTTCAGGGACTGTTGACATTCAGAGATGTGGCTATAGAGTTCTCTCTGGGGGAATGGCAATGCCTGGATGGTGCTCAGCAGAATTTGTATAGAGATGTGATGTTAGAGAACTACAAAAACCTGGTCTCCCTGGGTGAGGGTAACTTCAATACACCATTCCTAATATATTGCCTTTCTCTCTTTTCTAAGATGATTTTGGTAATTTCTGCTTTGCATGAATGAATTTTAGCTCTCTGATTTTAAGAAAATCTTGTGGATTCATTGGTGTAGAACAAATTCTTCAGGATGTTTTATCTTGACCTAAACTTTTCCCTTCCCCGAGCTTATGTATCTTTTGCTCTAGGTTAGTGGCAATTCCAAAAGTCTCATGGCATAAAATAGCATTGCCCATGCCTTAGAATTCAGTTGCCACCATCAATTTTTGATTCAGTATTACTGAGTAGTGAAATTAAGGACCTATAAATTTAAAATAATTTCTAAATATTTAGAAAATTCTGTTATGAATCAATGTTAATTTTCTAGAACTTTCTATCATATCCTCTTTACTAAGCATAAGACTAATTTGGTAATTAAAGAATTCAGCCAGATTTATGTTACTTTTTTTCTGAATAAAACAGGTATTGCTGTCTCTAAGTCAGACTTGATCACCCATCTAGAGCAAAATAAAGAGCCCCGGAATATAAAGAAAAATGAGATGTTAGCCAAACACCCAGGTAGGTGATAGCAAATTAAGTAGATGAGACAGATGAGAGGTACACAAGTTAAGAAAGCATCCATTCCTTAAAATGTAGTCTGGGGAGCTGTGCTTCGATGGAAAGAGTTTCTGGGAAGCCTGAGTCATTTTTTTCTATTGCTCTCACACAGGGACACCTGTTGCAGGATTTAGGAGGATGAAAGACACCTCGGGTTTAAAACAGGAGAATCTTTTATTGAGTGCAGACCGAGCAGACTCACATCCAAAGACTGGGCCCGGAACAAAGACAGCACTTGACTTTTATACACACTTCACAAGGAGGGTGGGCTAGCTTGAAGCAAGCTTACAGTGGTGTGAAAGCAGGGATACAGAGGCAGGACAAAGACAGTTAATCAAATTGTAACAGCTTCATAACTCAGGATTGCGCATAACTGTTGCCAGGCAACCCAGATGTCCGTTGTCTAGGTTTGCCTAGGCACAGGCTTATCCCATAACCTTCACTATGGTGCCTAGACAGCTGTGGTTCAGGCCTGCTCAGGCTTCTCATGACCTTCACTGTACTTCTTAGGTAAAACAGAATACTTGAAGTTACTAGTTACAGAGACTAAGAATCTATAAACGGGCGGGCGCGGTAGCTCAAGCCTGTAATCCCAGCACTTTGGGAGGCCGAGACGGGCAGATCACGAGGTCAGGAGATCAAGACCATCCTGGCTAACACGGTGAAACCCCGTCTCTACTAAAAAATACAAAAAAAAAACTAGCCGGGCAAGGTGGCGGGCGCCTGTAGTCCCAGCTACTCGGGAGGCTGAGGCAGGAGAATGGCGTAAACTCGGGCGGCGGAGCTTGCAGTGAGCTGAGATCCGGCCACTGCACTCCAGCTTGAGCGACAGAGCGAGACTCCGTCTCAAAAAAAAAAAAAGAATCTATAAACTTATACTATAAAACAAAGGAAAATTTGATTTTCTTCTCTCAATGTTGATAGAGTACTGGGCGAGTCTCCAGAGCACATTAGATAATATTATCAAGACTTTTCCTGGGTCTGGGCTGTGCCTATTGCTGCCTCTGGGACAAGTCAGCCTAATATAGGAAAGCTTATTTCTCTTTCTTTTTTATTTTATTTTTCTTTAATTTCCTGCCTCACACCTTCTGCCCCATGCTGTTAAATTCTCTAAGGATTCTACTTTCGCTTCAGTAATCTTTCTTCAAGTTTACAGTATGAGCCAAAGTTTTCTTTATGGCTTATCAGGGACTGCACAAACTGATTGCTTCGCCATTACTTTTGGGGACACACTAATATCTGCATATTTTTGAGAAACTCTATGTTAAACCACTTTTAAAATTCTTTTTTTGCATCATGTCTAAAATGTGTGAGAACAGTAGTTTCTGTTTCATTGGTGGTTGTCCATTTTTCTGCACATGCCATCCTGTTTTTATTACCATAGCCTTGAGATATAACTTAAAGTTTTTTTTACAATTTTTAAATTTTTATATCTGTATGTATTTATTTATTTAGAGGCTGGGTTATGATACTTGCTATGTGGTCATATGCAAGCGGGGTACCTCTTATGTCTTCATTTTACTGTGCTGCATATTTTAGATATAGATTTATACATGGTATTGCTGGATTATGTGATAATTTCATTTTTATTTATTTGAAGAGCATGATTTTTTTATGATGGGTGCACCTTTTTTTCTCATCAACAACTTACATAGGTTTCAATTTCTTTACATCATGAACATAGTTGGTGTTTTAAAAAATTTATAGTGGTCATCCTAATTGATATAAGGTAGTTTTGTTTTGTATTGTGATTTTGTTTTGCATTTTTCTATAAATTATCAATTTTGTGCAACTTTTCAAATGCTTCTTTTCATTTGTATATCTTTTTTTAATTAAAGTTTAACTTAATCATTTGTCCATTTTTTTTTTTTTTTTTTTTTTTGAGATTGAGTTTCACTCTTGTTGCCCAGGCTGGAGTGCAATGGCATGATTTTGGCTCATGGCAACCTCTGCCTCCTGGATTAAAATGATTCTCCTGCCTTGGCCTCCTGAGTAGCTGGGATCAGGGATGTGCCACCATGTACAGCTAATTTTGTATTTTTAGTAAAGATGGGTTTCACATGTTGGTCAGGCTAGTCTCAAATTCCTGACCTCAGGTGCTCTGCCCACTTCAGTCTCCCAAAGTTCTGGGATTACATGCATGAGCCACGTCACCCATTTCTAAATCAAGTAATTAATTTTTCTTGTCTAGCTCTAGGAGTTGTTTATATATTCTCAATATTAAGTCTTATTACATGTGATTTTCAAATATTGTCACCCATTTCTTGGGTGATACTGTCACTCTATTAAATGTTTTATTTGATTGCAGAAATTTTGAAGTTCAGCCCAGTTAAATTTTTCTGTTCTTCTCTTTGTTGCTCAAGCATTTAATGGCATATCTAAGAAAATGGTGCCAAGACCAATGTCATGTCTTTCCATTGTATTTTTTTTTTTGTTAAAGTATTTTGTTTAAAATATTTTTTGTATATGATGCAATTAAAGCATCCAACTTCATTGTTTCAATGTAGATATCCAGTTTTCAACATTATCTGTTGAAGGGATTATATTTTCTCCATTGTCTGCTCATGACAGCCTTGAGGCAGATTATTTGGTCATACACAGAAGAGTTCAATTGCTGGGCTCCCTGTTTTGTTCTATCATGTCTTTATCTGTCTTTGTGTGAGTACCACATAGTTATTGTTATTGCAGCTTTTTATTATGATTTGAAATTATGAAGTATAATGCCTCTGTGTTTTTCATGTGTGTTTCTCTAGATACAGTTCATAATAAAATTTAAAAATTTTAAACAATATTCCAGGAATAAATATATTTTTGGAATTTTGATACAGATTATATTAAATTAGTTCACCACTTCAGGTCATATTGACATCTTAACAAGTTAAGTTGTCACTTAAATATGTTGACCCTTGAGCAAAAATATTAAATTAAATTAAATTATTTGACCCTGTGCAAGAATACAGTGAAGAGTGTGTTTATTTCCATACATTTTTGATTTGCCAGTATTACTTCTTTCTTTTTAGTTTTTTTCAGTTTTGGCTAGAAAACATATACTGTATGATTTTGCTCTTCTTAAAGTTTTTTTTGACACAGGGTTTCTCACTCTGTTGCCCAGACTGTGGTGCAGTAGCACAATCTTGGCTCATCGTAGCCTGAACCACCTGGACTCAAGTAATCCTTTTACCTTGGCCTCCTGAGTGGCTGGCACTACAGACATACCCCACCATGCCCAGCTAATTTTTAATTATTTGTAGAAACAGGGTCTCACTGTGTTCCCAGGGCTAGTATCAAACTTCTTGCCCCAAGTGATCCTTCCACCTTGGCCTCCCAACGTGCTGGTATTACACCTGGAGCCACTGCCCCCGGCTGATCTTTTGAAATTTACTAGGTCTTATGTGTTCTGACAGAATACACCAGGTGCAAATAAGAATATTGTGTATCCAATTGCTTTTCATTGGAGAGTTCTGTGTACATGTCTGTTTAGCCTATTTGGTTTGTGATATGGTGTAGATGCCCTCCAAATCTCATGTAGAAATATAATCTCCATTGTTGAATGTGGGGCCTAATGAGAGCTGTTTGCATCATGGAGACAAATCCCTCATGAATGACTTGGTACAATCCCCTTGGTAGTCATAGAGTTCTCACTCTATTAATCCACATGAGAGCTGGTTGTTTAAAGGAACCTGGCTCCTCCACCTCACACGTGCATCATCTTTCACCATGTGACATGTTTGGTTCTTTTTTGCCTTCCGCTATAATTTTAAGCTTCCTCATATCCTCACCAGAAGCAGATGCTGGTATATACTTCTTGTACAGTCTACTGAATTGTGAACCAAAGAAATCTTTTTCTGTATCAGTTATCCAGTCTGAGGTTATTTTCTATAGCAATGCAAAATGAATTCATACACAATATAATGTTCTTCAGGTTTTCTGTTTTTTTAATTGATTATTTTAATTTTTTCTTTATTGAAATTGAGGTATTAATGTTTATAATTTTTGTTGCTATTTTATTTCTTGCTTCATTTCTGTCAATATTTGCTTGACGTATTTTGAAGCCCTGATGTTATATATGCACATATATATAGATAGACATAATAGTTATAGATTCCTAGCAAATTGACTCATTTTACCATTATATAATATCAATCTGTCTCATGCTAGTAATTGACTCATTTTCTTTTGTATGTCTATAAATATTTTTTCTTTGTGCTACATTGGAGATTTTATAAAACCTCTTAATGTTATAACAGTGTATTTTAATCTGGTAAAAAAAAAATGACTTCAGTTGCATAGAACAATTTGTCCTCATTATATCTACCCTATACTTCTTACTGATGTTGCAAATTATATATTTGTATATTTTATGATTGTTTTTATGCTTATATATTTCAAATTTTAAATACTAACTGTTTTCTGCACGATCACAATAATGACACAGAATTTTACTTTTTTGTATATGCATATGTTTTTCAGAAAGTTACGTATTTTCATATGATTATATATTTTTTTCATCATATTATTTTAAGTGGAAAGACCTCTTTTCAGCATTTTATTTAGGGCACATGTAGTGTTTATATGCTTCTCCAGCATTTGTTTATTCTGGAATATCTTCATTGTTTATTTTGTAGTACATTTACATTTTTGCTGGTTATATTATTCTCACCATGAAGATTTTTTTCAGCACTTTGACCATTTTACACAGTTCTTTTCTGACCCGCAAGGTTTCTGTTGACAAATTCATTGGTTGTCTTGGAGGACTATGCTTATAAATAATACCTCACTTTTATCTTGCAGCTCCCAAGATTATCTTATGGTTTGTGACTTTTCAAACTTTGCTTAAATATGTGTTATGGATCTTTTTGTGTATATCCTAGTTTGTTTAGCTTCTTCATTTTTTTATATTACTTTTTTTTCCTACTTTTAAATTTTTTCAGTTATTCTTTTTTACCTCCACAATTGTTTATTTTTATTATTCCAAGCTTTTTGTTGATATTCTTATTTTTCTGATTTTATTTTGGTGTCTGGTTTTCCATTTTTCTCATTGAGCATAATATGGATTATCTTAAATTTTAAAAATTAATACATATATCTTTATTTTTATAGTTGCTTTTTCACAATTTTTGAGTTTTTTTATTAGACCATGTTGCCCAAATATTTTGTATACATTGTAATCTTTGGTTGAGATTTAGACACTAACATAAAACTACCTTTCACGATCTTTATAATACGGCTCTTTCCTGGCATAGCCTGAAACCAATTGTCTTGGGCAAAGATTCTGGGAGTCTCATGACCATGTTCTTAGGATGTGTCTTGTCTGCAATTTTGTACTTATTTTTCAGTTGAAAGACTTCTTCATATTTCCTCTTACTGGTCAGTAACTACTTTCTACACCTATTGTCTGTCCATGGTACTGCAGTCTTTCTGCTGTTGTAACATTCACTTTTTATCTCAAAAGAATTAAATCTGTCATTAAAGACACCATGTTCTTCTGTTGGGGATGAGGAAGGGCTGTGTTGAGTAAATGTAGCAGACTTTTCTATCTATAAAGCTCTTGACATTGTGCTCACATGGTGCACACACTTTCTAAATTTCTAACAAAGGTATTTTGATTACTATGATTCTGCTACATTTATACATCTATGAAGGAATTATGGCCTGTGATGTTTTGATATGCCATTTTGCTAATGTACCATATATAATTTTATATATTCAATTTGTAAAGTATATTTATCTGAGTCCAGTAAGTAGAGTAATTTGTGATTTTTATGTCTTTCAGTTATGTGTTCTCATTGCACCCAAGACCTTCAGCCACAGCAGGGCATAAAAGATTCACTCCAAAAAGTAATACCAAGAACATATGAAAAATGTGGAAATGAGAATTTACAATTTAAAAAATGCTGTAAAAGTGTGGGTGAGTGTGAGGTGCACAAAGGAAGTTATAATGATGTTAACCAATGTTTGTCAACTACCCAAAACAAAATATTTCAGACTCATAAATATGTCAAAGTCTTTGGTAAATTTTCAAATTCCAGTAAGCATAAGACAAGACATACTGGAAAGAATCATTTCAAATGTAAAAAATGTGGCAAATCATTTTGCATGCTTTCACACCTAAATCAACATCAGGTAATTCATACTAGGGAGAAGTCTTACAAATGTGAAGAATGTGGCAAATCCTTTAACTGCTCCTCATACTGTACTAAACATAAAAGAATTCATATTGGAGAGAAACCCTACAGATGTGAGGAATGTGGCAAAGCCTTTCACTGGTCCTCAAGCCTTAGTAGACATAAGAGAATTCATACTGGAGAGAAACCCTTCACATGTGAAGGATGTGGCCAAGCCTTTAGCCGGTCCTCAGCCCTTAAGAAACATACCCAATTTCATACTGGAGGGAAACCCTACACATGTGAAGAATGTGGCAAAGCCTTTAGGCGCTCCTCAGCACTTACTAACCACAAGAGAATTCATACTGGAGAGAGACCCTACAAATGTGAAGAATGTGGCAAAGCCTTTACCTTTTCCTCAGCCCTCACTGACCACAAGAGAATTCATACTAGAGAGAGACCCTACATATGTGAAGAATGCGGCAAAGCCTTTAACTGCTCTTCCAGCCTCATGCAACATAAGAGAATTCATACCGGAGAGAAACCCTACACATGTGAAGAATGTGGCAAAGCCTTTAGGTGCTCCTCAGCCCTTACTAACCACAAGAGAATTCATACTGGAGAGAGACCCTACAAATGTGAAGAATGTGGCAAAGCCTTTAGCTTTTCCTCAGCCCTCACTGACCACAAGAGAATTCATACTGGAGAGAGACCCTACACATGTGAAGAATGTGGCAAAGCCTTTAACTGCGCCTCATCCCTTAAGAAGCATAAGAGAATTCACACTGGAGAGAAACCCTACAAATGTGAAGAATGTGGCAGAGCTTTTACATGGCATTCAAGTTTTGCTATACATAGGATACGTCACACTGGAGAGAAACCCCACAAATGTGAATAATGTGACAAAGTCCACCCTCAGGCCTTATAATACATAAAATAATTTATACTGAAAAACACTACAAGCGTAGAGAATGTGGTCAGGCCTTTAACCAGTTCCAAACCTTAATTGAACATATGAGAATTCATATTGGATGAAAATCTTATAAATGTAAGTAAGAAAGAAACCCTTTGACTAATGCTTAAACTTAATAAACCTAAGAGAATTTATTGAAAAAAGAATTTTTTTGAGATGGAGTCTCACTTTGTCACCCAGGCTGGAGTGCAGTGGCATGATCTCACCTCACTGCACACTCTTCCTTCCGGGTTCAAGTGATTCTCCTGCCTCAGCCTCCTGAGTAGCTGGGGTTACAGGCACCCACCACCACACTGGCTGATTTTTTATTTTTAGTAGAGACGGGGTTTTGCCATGTTGGCCAACCTGGTCTCGAACTCCTGACCTCAGGTGATCCATCTGCCTCAGCCTCCCAAAGCCTAAGAGAATTTATATTAGACCCTAGAAAGGTAAAAAATGTGACAAAACCTTTAAGCACACTCAGGCCTTACACAATATCTTATAATTCATTCTAGAGAGAAACCCTACAAAAGCAAAGAATGTGGTAAAGCTTTTAACTAGTGTTGAACCCTTATTATACATAAGATAATACTGAAGAGAAACCCTACAATAAGGAATATGGCAATGTCATTAAAAAGTCCTCAAACCTGAACAAATGTAAGGTAATTGATACTGGAGAGAACCACTGCAATTGTAGAAAAAAATGTGGCAAAGCCTTTAACTGGTTCTCCATCCTAATTAATGTAAAAATTTTATACTGGAGAGAAACTCCACATACATAAAAAATGTGACAGAGCATTTAACCACACCTCAAACTTTTCTAAAAAAGAGAAATCATGCTGGTGAGAAACTCCAGAAATGTGTTCAATGTGGCAAGGCCTTTAAATGGTAGTCATATGTTATGGTAAGTAAGATAATTTATACTGAAGACAACTCCTACAAATATGAAGAATGTGGCAAAACTTTTAACAAATTCTCATATGACACAGGAAAGCATTTCTACTAGAGAAAAATTGTACAAAGAATGTGAAAAGTCATTAATATCAGCTCACATCTTAGTATCAAAGTTTATACTTAATAAAAGCATTATAGGTCAGGTGTGTTGGCTCATGCTTGTAATTCCAGCACTTTGGGAGGCCAAGATTGGTGGATCATGAGGTCAGGAGTTCAAGACCAGCCTGACCAATATGGTGAAGCCCCATTTTTACTAAAAATACAAAAATTAGCCAGGCATGGTGGCATGCACCTGTAATCCCAGCTACTCGAGAGGCTGAGGCAGGAGAACTGCTTGAACCTGGGAGGCGGAGGTTGCAGTGAACCTAAATAGAGCTGCTACACTGCAGCCTGGGTGACAGAGCAAGACTCCATCTCAAAAAAGCAAAGCATTAATAAATGTGATTACTGTAAAAAGACTTCAGAAAATGTAGGCCTTTAAAGTAAAAACTATTTATTCTGAAGACATACAAACATAAAGAGGATTGTTGTACCTTTACTTGCATTATAGATTTTATTGTACACATTTTATATTAAAGGAAAAATCTGAAGCAGTTAAACTGGTGAAGCAGACACCAGTTTATACTAAATTCTTTTTGCAGGTCTAGTAAATGGGGAAAATATGTTTAATCAAAAATTGTTTACATAAACATTTGAGGATTCACAGTAAAAAGAATAAAGGCACTGAAACTTCAGACATTACACTAAATCAGAGTGTTGAGTGTAAAAGAGATCCAAATATTTTTTTTTAAAGTAGATTTTTTTTGGAGATTTATAATTATCTTTGAGGTTATGCTTCTTTTTCTGTAAAACAAAATTAGATTTTCTGAAAAACAATAATGTAACTCAAGTCTCAGATTATTTCGTGTTGATTCTTCCCATTGTTTAAGTATTTCATCAATTGTTGCATCAGAGATATGAGAGTGTTTTTTTCAATGTACATTTATGTAATAAAATGCAATAAATTTAAAAAATGTTTGAAGATTATGTATGATCTTAATTTTTAATTAAACAAAGTTGTTTTTAATGTGTTAAAACTGTTGTGCTTTCAATGAAGTGTTAATTTGCCATAAACATGAATGTGTCTCATCTTAAGGTTCTAAGTAAATGATGGGAACAATATACTATTTGTTAATGTAGGGGAGTGACATCTCTAGTAATCTCTCTTTTGCCAGTGTTTTTTTTGTTTGTTTGGTTTGAGACGGAATCTTGCTCTGTTGCCCAGGCTGGAGTGCAGTAGCATGATCTTCGCTCAGTGCAACCTCCACCTCCTGAGTCCAAGCGATTCTCCTGCCTCAGCCTGCTAAGTAGCTGGGACGACAGGCATGCGCCACCATACCTGGCTAATTTTTGTATTTTTAGTAGAAACAGGGTTTCACCATGTTGGCCAAGCTGGTCTTGAACTCCTGACCTCAGGTGATCCACCCGCCTCGGTGCCCTAAAGTGCTGGGATTATAGGCATGAGCCACCACACCTGGCCCTCCAGTGGTTTTAAACTGTAAATAAGTTGAATAATTTTGTTCTCATAGGTCAAGTTTGTATTCTTATTTACCTTATTTTGATTTTTAAAAATGTTTGTGGGTAGATTGTGTGGCATACACACTTATGGCATATATGAGGTATTTAAACATGGGCATACATTATTTAATTATCACAGCAGAGTAAATGAGGTATTTGTCACCTTGAGCATGTATTTATCCTTTGTATTACAAACAATCCCATTATATAGCTTTAATTATTTCAATATGTGCAATTGAATTATTAACCACAGGGTCATTTTATGATCATAAAAGTTACATGAGTATAATTAATATCCATACATTTCTGAGTCTCGATTAAATAGTTTTAAAAGTTTGTTTTATATATTTTTTGTACATGTGGCCTCTCTGCTGACAAAAAAAAAAAAAACAGACTTTTAGTTTTGATTTACATAGAGTTACATATGCAAATATATTACTCTAAAGATATATCAGCCAGGCACAGTGGCTCAGACCTGTAATCTCGAAACCCCATCTCTACTAAAAATACAAAAAATTAGCTGGGTGTGGTGGTGCGTGCCTATATTCCCAGATACTAGGGAGGCTGAGGCAGGAGAATCGCTTGATCCTGGGATACAGAGGTTGCAGTGAGCCAAGATGCCACCACTGCACTCCAGCCTGGATGACAGAGCAAGACACTGTTTAAACATTTTTTTTAAAAGGTATACCTTACACATAAGAAAGTTATGTAGCAAGTGAGTGTGTTTGCGTGTGAGTTTGTATGCATTTCAGAATTGAACAATGTTGAAACAAAGATTATTTTAATAAGGTGGATAATTAACGAGAAACAGGAAACCTCAGAGATTCTAAAAAAAAAGTTTATATTCTCTGCCTTGTATTGAATTCGTCAGTGTAAAATCTTATCCCACCCAAATCTTATCTCAAATTGTAATCCCCACGTGTCAAGGGAGGGACTTGATGGGAGGTGATTGGAACATGGGGGTAGTTTTCCTCCATGCTATTTTTGATAGTAATTGAGTTCTCAAAAGATCTGATGGTTTTATAAGTGGTGGTTTTTTCTGCTCTCCCTCTCTCCTGCTGCCTAGTCAAGAAGGTACTTGCTTATCCTTCACCTTCTACCATAATTGTAGGTTTCCTAGACCTCTCAAACCATGCAGAATTGTAAGTTAAACCTCCTTTCTGTATAAATTATCCATTCTCTGGTAGTATCTTCATAGTAGTGTGAAAACAGACTAATACAGAAAATTAATACTGGGAGTTTGGGGCACTGCTACAAAGATAATTGAAAATGTGGAAGTGACTTTGGATCTGGGTAATAGGCGGAGGTTGAAACAGTTTAGAGGGCTCAGAAAAAGATAGAAAAATGTGGGAAAGTTTGGAACTTCCTAGAGACTTGTTGAATGCTTTTGACCAAAATACTAACAGTGATATGGATGATAAAGTCCAGGCTGAGGTTGTCTCAGATGGATTTGAGAAACTTATGTTTAAAATGGAAGCAGAACATAAAAGTTTGGAAAATTTGCAACCTGACCTTGAAGTAGAACATAAAACCCCATTTTTTGGAAAGAAATTCAAGCTGCTGCAGAAAATTGCAAAAGTAAAGAGAAGCTGAATGTTAATAACCAAGACCATGGGGAAAATGTCTTCAGGTCATGTCAAAGATCTGAGGCAGGTCCTTCCATTACAGACCAGGAGCCATAGGAGGAAACAGTGGTTCCATGGTTGAGGCCCAGGGCCCCACTCCTCTATGAAGCCTTGGGACTTGGTGCCCTGCCTCCCAGCTGCTCCAGATCCAGTTGTGGCTAAAAAGAGCCAAGGTACAGCTTGGGTTATTTCTTCAGAAAGGGCAATCCTCAAGCCTTGGTGGCTTCCATGTGGTGTTGTGCATGCGAGTGCATATAAGACAAAAGTTGAGCTCTAGGAACCTCTGCCTAGATTTCAGAGGATGTATAAAAATGCCTGAATGTTCAGTCAGAAGTCTTCTACAGGGGCAGAGCCCTCATGGAGAACCTGTGATAGGGCAATGCAGAAGGGAAATGTGGGGTTGGAGCCCTCACACACAGAGTCCCCACTGAAGCTGCCTGCGGGAGCTGTGAGAAGGCCACTATAATCCAGACCCCAGAATGACAGATCCACCATGAGCTTGCACTGTGCGTGTGGAAAAGCCACAGGCACTCAATTCCGGTCCATGAAGGAACTTCCCAAAATCATGAGGGCCCACCCCTTGCATCAGCATGGCCCACATGTGAGACATGGAGTTAATGAGATCATCTCAGAGCTTTAAGATTTAATGACTGCCCCATTGGAATTCAAACTTGCATGGGGCCTGTAGCTCCTTGGTTTTGGCCGATTTATCCCATTTGAAATGGGAGAATTTATCTAATGCCTGTACCCCCATTGTATCTTGGAAGTTACTAACTCGCTTTTGATTTACAGGCTCATAGGTAGCAGGGACTTGCCTTGTCTCAGATGAGACTTTGGACTTAGACTTTTGGGTTAATGCTACAATGAACTAAGACTTTGGGGGATGGTTGGGAAAGCATGTTTGGTTTTGAAATATAAAAAGGACATGAGATTTGCCAGGGGCAGGATGATACTCATGGTGTTCTCATGATAGTGAGTGAGTTCTCATGAGATCAGATGGTTTTGTAAGTGGTAATTTTTCCTGCTCTCCTTCACCTAACAAAGAAGACACCTGCTTCTCCTTCACC